GCATTTTAGTATACCGTTGGTATATCCCGGGTTGCATACCAGGGGGGAAAAGTGGGTTGTAGGTGATGGGATAGAGTGGAGATGGGTGAGGGGAAAGACTCTCAGCCTCCCGTATGTTCGCCCAGGTCTTAAGCGTGGGGAGGATGGTGGGGTGTGCGGAGCAACAGGAAAGCAATTTTGAGGGAACTGCTCTTTGCCAGGGGAGTGTGTAAAGAGGTACTTGGCTCACTGCACTCTCAAGGGTTACCCATTGGCGTGCTGGAGGGTGCGTGGACCAGTCGTGAATCCTGGAAAGAATGGTTGCCCTGTAGTACCTTTCCATGTGTGGGAGGCCCAAGCCACCACATGACTTGTGTCTGGTGAGCACCTCATATGGAATTCTAGGTTGTTTCTGTGCCCATATAAAAGCGGTGAAAAGTTGCCTAAGTTTTGTGAAAAAGGACTTTGGTATTGCTATCGGTAGGGTTTGGAAAAGGTATAGTATCTTGGGGAGGGAGTTCATTTTAAGAATATTGATTCTACATAGCCATGAGAACTGTGGTTTTTGCCAATTTTGCAGGTCTTTTGAGATAGTTTGGTATAGTGGGTCGTAGTTTAGTGTGAAGATGGAAGAGAGATCCGCCGGCAGACGAACTCCCAGATATGTAATGGCTTTATCCACCCATGTGAAGGGAAATGTGGCTTGCAGACTTGTGCGTGAGCGGGGCGCTATTCGAATTGGTAGGATTTCGCTTTTGGAGAAATTTACCTGAAAATTGGAGAGTTTATGGTATTGGGCTATTTCCTCTAGGAGTGGGGGCAAGGAAGTGTCAGGAGTTTGTATGGTGAAGAGTAGATCATCAGCGAAAGCTGAGATTTTGTATTCCGCCCCTTGTATTTGAATGCCCCTGATAGCCGGGTTGTCCCGGATTCCGTTTAAGAAGGGTTCTAGTATGAGGATAAAGAGGAGGGGGGAGAGGGGACAGCCCTGTCTCGTGCCGTTTCTAATGAGTACTGGTTCCGAGAGTTGTCCATTTACCCTTAGTCTGGCTGTGGGATTGGAATAGATGGCTTGCATCCAGTCGAACCATTTGGGACCAAATCCTATTTTACGCAGGGTGGCAGTCAGTAGTGTCCAGTCCACTCTATCGAACGCCTTCTCCGCGTCGATTGAGAGCAGAAGGCTCTCCGTTGGTAGGCGTTTTGCCAAATATATCAAATTTAAGATTTTTGTGGTGTTGTGTTTCGCTTCCCTGTTGGGAACGAAGCCCGCTTGGTCGGAGTGTATCAAGGTTTGGAGTAAAGGTTTCAAGTGGGTGGCCAATATTTTTGTAAACAATTTCACATCAAGATTTATCAGAGATATTGGGCGGTAGCTACCGCAATTGGTCGGGTCTTTGCCCGGCTTGGATATGAGGGCTATGTGTGCCTCCAAAGATGCTTTGGGGAAGGCGACAGGTTGAGCAAGGGAGTTAAATGCCCGTAGGAAGGGTTCAATAAGGGAGTGGGCGAATGTTCTGTAGTATTTGGCCGTGAAGCCGTCTGGCCCTGGCCTCTTCCCCAGTTTGAGGTGTCGTATAGCAAAATTGACTTCGTCTGAAGTTATAGGTGCATCAAGCGTCAGAAGAACATTTGCGGGGATAGTCTGGTGGACCCTGGAAGCCAAGAAGCGTTCAATGTCCTGTGTTGGTGGGGGGGAGTCCCTCAGATTGTAAAGCCTGGTGTAGAAGTCTTGGAAAGCTGATAGTATGTCTGGGAGTTTATATGATATGGCTCCTGAGGGAGTTCTAATTTTGGATATGAAGGTCGACTGCCTCTGTTGTTTTAGAGAGTTAGCTAGTAGACGTCCACATTTGCCTCCATGTGCATAATAGGAGTGTTTTGTCAGCAGGAGAGTGCGTTTGATTTTGGCATTTAGTAAGTCCTGTAGGGCAGACCTTTTAGCTGTGAGGGCTTGGTAAGTGTCTAGTAGCGTGTCTGTTTTGTGTCTGATTTCTAGTTTCCGTATGTCCTCTGTGAGTGTTCGAATGGAGGCTTCTCGTGCCTTTTTGTTTCTTGCTGCCAGTGCTATTATTTCTCCTCTCAGCACACATTTGTGCGCTTCCCACGTGAGAGGTGGGGGTGAGGATGGGGTAGCATTGATGGTGAAATAGTTGTCTATAGAGTCTCTAAGCTGCGAAACAATCTCTGGGTTATTTAGAAGGAGGTCGTTAAGTTTCCATTGAAATAGTTTTTGTGGGATGGTGGGTATTTGTATGTCCAGTACCAGGGGCGCGTGGTCTGACCACGTGATGGAGCCATATTCTGAGGATTGTATTAGGTGTAGGAATCTGTGTTGGATGAAGAACATATCTAGTCTAGAGTACACGTGTGATGTGGGCGAGAAGAACGAGAACTCCTTAGTCGATGGATGTATAGTGCGCCAGCAGTCGTATAGTTGTCTGCTATCGAGTAGTTTGGCCATCCGTGTACGTGCTGATGTTTGGTAGTCAGTGGCTCGGGACATGGTGTCTAGGCGACAGTCTAGTGATAGATTAAGGTCACCACCAAGGATGAGAATACCCTCGGTGAATTGTTCTATGGCTTTAAGTTGTTTATTGAACACCTTGCATTGATGTTTGTTGGGGAGATATGTGTTTACAAGCGTGACCGTGGTCTGACCTATTTGGCCTTTGACCATGAGCAACCTCCCTGTGTCGTCAGACTTATGGGAGGTGTACGTGAAGGGCACATGGGCAGAGAGCAAGATTGCCACTCCTCTCGCCTTGGTGTCAGTGAAATCACTAAAATAGCTGGTAGGGTATCGTCTGTTTTTGAGGGTGGGGGCTGCCCCTTTCTTAAAGTGAGTCTCTTGTAGGAAAGCTATGTCTGCCTTGAGCGTATGTAGTTCATTGAGAGCCATGGAGCGCTTTTCAGGGGTGTTGAGGCCCCTGACGTTAAGTGTTATGATGCGAATGTTGGCCATTAGGGTGAGTGAGCGTGTCTCTTATCTGACTTCGGTCGCTTAGACCTTGTGTGGTAATTGCCACTGGGTGAAGGAGGGATGCACAGAGTTTTTAGGGAGGGAGAGAGGAAGGGGACGGCACTTATATACCGTAACAATGGGGAAAGCTGACCGTCTGCGTTATCCGCCCGTGCAATATGTGTGTGGCAATGCACAGGCGGTCCTGTAGACGGAAGGGGGACTTCCGTGGGTGACGTACCTAAGGTGGTTAAGTCTGACCACCTGGGTACTTGGGGTTCACCCTAGAACGGTCACACAGACCTTTGGTAGGAGCCGATTGTTCTGCCTACCTGTCGTGTTATGGGCAGGCAGTGATAGGGACCATCCGGTTCCCTGTGTGGGTATGAGGTGGGGTTGGTACTGCGCGGTGTGTTGTCTTGGGAGCCAATCCATTGATTTAAATTCGGATGGAAAGGTATTGGGCAGCGACTTTGAGTGGGACTTTTGCTGCTAGTGCTGTCACCCTGTCACGGGCTAATACTGGTCATTGAGGTACGGGGCAGTGTCCAGGTAGGGGTTGTGGGTGGCTAGGTGGGGTGGTCTTAGCGTCAGTAGAGGACCCCCCATAGTAGAGGAAAGGAGGACCGATTTTTACCTCTGTGTCATTGTGCGCTGAGTGCGGGTGAGGGTGGCCAGATTATCTGTATTGTTGCGGCGTTAGTACCCGCTGACATCTAGGGGCAGAGTTGAGTGAGGGCCCCTGTGTCTATTTACGGGGTAGAGCTCTCGATGTCTAGAGCATGTGTCAGAGGGATTGCCTTTATCTGGTGTCTGAGTCCCGTCTAGTTATCGCTTCTCTTTTAACATTTCAATATGGCATGTAGACATTGTCTCAATTTATCTTACGGAGTAGTGCTCAGAGTATCCATACACCGGTCGTTAAGCCGGTCGTCCTCCCCGTGAGTCTTAGCCTGTCAGGGTAATAGTAGAGCCCCTTATGAGAAAGAGGGGGGGGGGTGGAAGGGAAGATAGGTGTGGCTAGGGGATGGAGAGTGGAGCTTTTCTGGATATATGCAGGGGGGGGGGGGCTGAGGGGGCATTTAGACAGACAAGTAGGTCCAGCGTGGGCTTAGGGGTCTTGTGAGAAACCTGGCAATCCTAAAGTACAAGCAGGTGGTCCTGAGCCTAGACAAGTCTCTTTTTGCACATATAAACCTGTAAGATTCGTATACTCTTAGGTAGCCTACTCTGCCTAATTTCTATCTGGGTGTCACAACTCACTTTACATTCCAATAATACATGCAGAACATATCACAGGTTATCGCACGGGGAGGTACCCGTTTGGGATGTACACATGTCATAAGCCAACCATCGTCTCTGTAGTTCTTGGCACAGCAATTTCATAGTAGAACCCAACGTAAGAAGGGGGGGGAGGAGGGGAGGAAGGGAGGGAAGGAGGGATAGGATGTCGGGCGTGAATGGGGGGGGTAGCTATGTTGCCTCCTTGTTATATATATATATATATATTTTTTTTTTTTTTAACAGAAGCATGGTTAGTTAGCGTCCATGTACCGTTTGGCATCTAGGGGGGAGAGGGAAGAGGGGGCTATATACAGATAGGAGGGGAGGGATACTTAGACACTTGAGGGGGCCCAGCTAGGCATGTATTTACAGATCAACTGTCCTGGTAGTCCCTTAGCGCAACAGGGCTGGGGTCGTTTAGCACCCTTGGTCCTGCCAGGATCGTGGGCGTTTAGCTAGGGTCTAACTGGTATCAGGCGTCCGGTTCTGTCCATGCCTGGGGAGTAATTTAACTAGGGAGGTATAGGGTGGTTAGGGAGGGAACAGCGCCATGTCTCTAGCGGTGGTAGTACTTGCGTGACCATCGGGAGATGAGTTTTCTTGACGGGCATCGGTATGCCGTTCCAGTAGTCCTCTTGGGGGAGTCCCTTATTGCTGCATCCGTCGGGGGTTCGTCAAGAGACCCCAGGGCTGCGGTCAATCTTGTGTTTCCCTTCTTGTTTGTCCTTTTTTTTTTTTTTTTCTTCTTCTTTGTTTTTTCTTCTTTTTGTTTTACTCCCCTTGCGGCTTGTAATTATATCCAATGGGCCCCGGGGGCTGTCGGGATGGGGCGAAGGTGAGATGTATGTCCGTGGCAGGGTGATTTCCTCCAGCTGTCGTAGCTGCATGTCTTCGGCGGTTAATAGTGGGTAGAAGCCTGTGCTGGATCACCCGCTGGCACTGCAGCTCTGTCAGCTCTCCGTTTCGTGGGTGTTTGGTGCCGGCGGTTCTGGAGCGGAAACCTCGGAGCATTCGGCGGTGGTATAATGCCGTACCAGTCGGGTATTTGGACGTCTGGAAGGTCCATTTCCCTCAGGAATAGTGGGATATCGTGAGTTGAGGATATGGTGTGCGAAGCTCCATTGTAGGTAGCTGTCAGCGAGAGCGGAAAACCCCAACGGTATCTTAAGTTTCTAGCTCGTAGCTGGTCCGTGATGGGCTTCAGTACTCTACGAGCTTGTAAGGTCATCCACGATAGGTCAGGATAGATTGCAATTGGAGCACCGTGGTATAGTAGAGGTTGTTGAGAGCGACGCAGGGCCTCCATAATTTTGTTCTTGCACTCATAGTAGTGCAGTCTGCAGATCACGTCTCGGGGTGCATCAGATGCTGTGCCTCGTGGACGTAGAGCCCTGTGGGCCCTGTCAAAGGTTATTTGTGTGTCAGCAGATCGGCCCATGATGAGATTGAAGAGTTCCTATCAGGCAGGTTTTCTCTGTCAGTCTCGGGGAGGCCCTTCACCCTCAGGTTGTTTCGCCGTCCCCTATTATCCAGGTCATCCAGCGATCATTGCATGACAGAGACCTGTGTGTTCTGGGCCAACACCGTGTCTTGAAGCGCCCTAATTTGCGCCTGCATCGTGTCCCAGGTCCTCCTCCAACGCGAATATTCTGTGTTTCGTCTGCTTAAAGTCAGCCCCTATAGCATCCAATTTGGTCTGGAACGTTGTCTCAAGCCTGTGGAGCATGTGGGCCAAATCTTGCTTAGAGGGAAGTGCCTTGAGGAGCTCCTTGATGTCAGGGTCAGTTGAATGAGAGGATATCTCAGAGCCTGCGGGACTCATCGGCGCGGAGCAGGCCGGAGGCGAGTCAGGCGCCATGTTGGGGCCTACCGGGTCATTCGCCTGATCCCCCGTGTCTCTGAAGAATTTTGTCAGGGCACCGTGTTTTCCTGCGGGGGTCCTGTGTGCAGAGTGCTGTCCAGCGGTTGAACGTTTTGGGTGTCCCATTTTAAGAGTTGTAGTGCCCGATGGCGGTGGATTGGCTTTCCAAGAGCGAGGAGCTCAGCTAGCACACGTCCATGCGGTTAGGCAGTCGGCTCCGCCCCCCCCTTGTAATTCTAACCTTGGTGGGAGCGGGGTAGACATTGTTATCTGGACCTCTAACCCCAGTAACACATAATCTAGTGCAGGGGTGCCCAAAATGTATATCCCTGGATGTTTTAAAACTACAACTTCCATGATGCTTTGTCATTCTAAAATCATTCTAAAAGCATGCAAAGCATTTCTGTTTGTCATTCTAAAAGCATTCTAAAAGTGTGCAAAGCATTAAAGGAGTTGTAGTTCTGCAACGTCTGAGGATCTACCTTTTGGGCACCTCTGATCTAGTGCAGGTGCAAAGATGTTCTAGGCTGATGGTAAATAATAAGCTGTGTCAGCTGAAGCTGCTTGAAGCTCTGCCATTTTTCACATTTTACCATAAATGGTAACTGGTTATTGTATTAGAAAAGCAAAAGTGGAGATGCACATTTTTTTAAAGAAATTATTTTAGTTATCTTAACTTCCAAATGTATTTTAGATCAAACAGCTCTACAGAGACTTCAGAAGTACTGGAAGAGGAAACAATTACCATAAAATAATAGATTTTACAAAATGACTCAAATTCATCAAATTCACACATCTGTTCCTGCTGTTTGTTTAAAAGAGGGCAAAAAAACTATTTGAATGTTCTTCCACATGCGCTGCAAAGGGGAATAAAAGGAAAGAACTCTTCTGAACTGTGAAGTGGCAATTGGATTTCTCCATCAAGCTTCTAATGGACTACATATTAGCTATTATATAATTATATGTTCTGTTTTGCCCCTCAAATAACTTTCTAGGCCTTTGTTAAAGACATCTACTGAATCTTATAACATCTAAAAACAATTGCACCACATATTCAAGGTGGGATCCAAGCATTTAATTACACATTGGCACACTTATATTATCATCACACAAATTAATGCCTCTTAAGATACTTAGTAGTGCCTAACTGTCCTTTACAAGTGGTGACTGATACCACACATTGTTTTGTTTGTCTGATTATTCTTCTCAAAATGCATAATCTTACATTTATCTTTACTGAACCTTTTCTGCCACTTGTCTGCCTACTACCCTTCTGTGACATTGTCTCCTTTTGTAACACATATATTAATGGTTAAATGTTATTCAGTAGCATGCTCTGTAGAAATAAACATAATTCTAGTAGTTTTGTGTGTTGTTCTTTGTTGTCCAGTTCATGTGAAAAAAAAAAATTGCAAAGGATTCATATACACTGCACAATTCTATAAAACTCTGTAAAAAAAAGTAATGCATACTAATGTTGAGTTTGGTAACATACTGTACTCATACACACTTTACATTTCTGTAAAGCTCCATGATATTCAAAGAGACTGTACATTGCATTGGTCCTCTGGAATTCACTCATACACATTGCTCATAGCTGTGGAGCTCTGTGAGTCTCTCCTACACCCCACACAATCAGTGGTGTATTTTGGATTTGTGCTGCCCTAGGCACGACTAAATTCGGGCACCCCAAAATCTAAATTTGAACCCCCCCCAATTCGTGTCAAGGTCACTTTTTTGACTGACAGACACATGCCCTCATTGATACATGCACTGATATACACTCACTGACATATACAGTCATTGGCACACACATACAGTCATAAGCACACACTGTTTAACCAACACACACTTTCACTGACAGACATACACTGACACACCCACTCACTGACAGGCACACACTCTCAGATACACATAAAATGACATACACACACTCACAGGCACACCCATTCTCACTGAAAGACACACACTTTCACTCACTCACAGACACACACGGACCGCTACACTCACAGTAAGGTGAACAGCCCCTTGTGGTAAATACATCCCTGCGCACAATACTGTGCAGTTCTGTGACACAATCATACATACTACATGATGCTGTGATGCTCTGTAATACACTTATACTAACATACAGTTACCAATCAATTCCCATCTCCATTGCCATGCCTTCTCTTTATTTCCATCCCCCACTTACATGTCAAGTACATGATTACATCCCCTAAATCATAACTTTTTTCCTGCACATCTGCTAATCAACCCACACCAATTACATGTCTACATGCTTCTCCCTTGACAAATTATATCAACATATTCTCCTAACAACAGTACACTTCCAACTTTGCATACAGAGGTATTTATGTTAACTCTGTATCACACATGGAACTCCCTATACAAATATTAAAGAGACACATCTGACCTTAAAGCGCCAGATACCCATTCTGTATGTCACAAACTGAGCAGCATTTGAAAGCATGCTTTGTTTATTGAAAGAACTAGAAAAGTATACCTATACATTTATCAGCCACAACCACAACAGACAGTGAAGTGCATAACATCAAAAATATTGTTACAATGGCATCTGTAAAGGGGTGGCATATATTATGTATTATATATTAGGCAGCATGTCTGCTATCCGAGTAACTTTGACAAGGGCGAAATAGTGTTGGCTAGATGAATGGGTCTTGTTGGGTGTTCCCGTTATGCAGTGGTTTGGACTTACCAAAAATGGTGAAGGTTGTCTGGTCTGATGAATCATGTTTTCTTTTAGATCAGATGGATGGCTAGGTGAATGTACATTGTTTACCAGGAGACGAGATGACAGCAAGATGCACTACGAGAAAAAGGAAGGCGGGCTGAGGCAGTGTTATGCTCTGGGCTATATTTTGTTGGGAAACGTTGGGTCCTGGCATTCATGCATATGTTACACCCGCCTAGAAATTGTTGCAGACCACATACATGACAATGGTTTTCCCTGATGACAGTGGCCTCTTTCAGCAAGATAATGCACCCTGCTACACTACAAAAAATGTTGCCTTGACCTTCAAATTCCCAATATTTCAATCCGATTGAGCATCTGTGGGATGTGTTAAAACAACAAATTTGATCCATGGAAGTACTACATTTAACTTGCAGGATGTAAAAGATCTCCTGCTAACGTCTTGATGCCTGATACCACAGGACATATTCAGAGTTCTTGTGGAGTCCATGTCTTGAAGCATCATAGCTGTTTCGGCAGCACAAGGCAGGTAGTTTTAATGTTGTGGCTGATCAGTGTATATCATATGCATTCTATATTTGACTGTGTATATGACAATAACACATATTAAGGATTCCCATGTTTCTTTTATTCTCCCAATTAATTTTGTATACTGTGGTCTTTTAACATTGAATCACTGAAATGTTAGTGGATTTAGATATCTCATTCTACAAATTTTGGCATTATGTGCACTATGTGTTTACCTTTTTATCCAATTAGATGTTTGGGTATTATTTATTTTAAAGCAAAAGAAAGTGGCAATAAAATGAAACAGACTCTGGTCTATTGTTAAAGGTCTGTGTTAAATTCTATATAAAGTTATTGTTTCTTTGTGCGTATTTCCCATTATATTTTATACTAACTAATGTGGATCATTATGACACCCTCCTATTTTAGGCTCTGGTGTTACATAGTTACATAGTTTCATAGTTACATAGCTGAAAAGATACTTGTGTCCATCAAGTTCAGCCTTCCTCACATATGTTGTTGCTGTTGATGCAAAAGAAGGCAAAAAACCTAATCTGAAGCGCTTCCAATTTTGCAACAAACTAGGAAAATATTCCTTCTTGACCCCAAAATAGCAGTCAGATGTCTCCTTGGATCAAGCAGCTATTACTCCACTAATTAGAAATTATATCCCTGTATGTTATGTTTTTGTAAGCATTTATCCAATTGCAGTTTAAACCTCTGTAGTGACTCTGACAAAACCACCTCTTCAGGCAAAGAATTCCATATCCTTATTGCTCTTACTGTAAAAAAAACTTTTCTTTGCCTTAGATGAAATCTTCTTTCCTCCAGCCTAAATGTGTGACCTTGTGTCCTATGTATAGCCCTGTTTATGAATAGATTTCCAGATAAAGGTTTGTACTGGCCCCGAATATATTTGTATAAAGT